TCAATGCAAGAATAATTTAATTGTCTAATGCATAACATTTCATCCTCTATTGAACACCCAGTATCCTCAGAACAATGTTGTCGCCTTGCGTCGACCAAACAAGACAGTATAGTACAAAGGAACTTAAGGGATCACAATAGTTAATTCGGAAAGATGACAATTATTGAAGACTAATATAAATAATCAAAAGTGTCCCTATTAGACAACTTAAACTTTTAAACGAGACAATTCATATAATTCAACATGCTTTAAGAGCATGCATAAGCCCTAAATTTTGAATCGCACTGCTAATTAAAAAAATTGCAAGTACTTTCTCCCCGTAAAAATACATTTTATAAATCTTAGACAAAGAAGTAACTGAAATTCAACATAGTATAAGAACAAGAACAGGTCCTAGGTTTGAGTCTCACCTTCCCCCATCTCAAAACATTTCCATGTGCTAGTGATGCATTGAAAGCCTAAACAAGTATTAAAAGTTTTCCCATCTCTACCAGTTTAATTTTTTGGATCAGATGGTTCACACTTCACAGAATGCAACTAGAATAAAAAATGACCTCAGAGTTATGGATATCTAACCATTAACATTAAAAATGACCTTAGAATTTAGGATATATGTAAAATCGAGCAGTACATCACATTTAGTCTTAACTCAAAGATTGTGAATAAGTTACCTGGTTGATATTTTGTGCTTTAAGCCTTCCAACAACTAGATGTTCCAAAATCATTTTCTTCTTAGTCATTTGCATCATTCTTTCCTCAATGGTTCCTCTTGTTATGAGTCGAAAGATCATTACCTGCAAAATCAAAAATGAAAAACACCTATTAAAACCTCATATCCAGGCCAAGAAAACACTGTCAACATAACTATCTCTTCTTTTGCCATGATGTCAAGGCTAATGGATATCAAATTTTTTTGGGGGCCAAGTACACTAGAACGAAAGAAATTGTAACCTTATTTGTTTGTCCAAGCCGATGAGCTCTAGCCATTGCTTGTAGGTCAGCATGGGGATTCCAATCACTGAGAGATAGACACTAAAGAGATAAGCAAGAGGAACCACATGCACATACAAGAACAACAACAACAACTAAGTCTCAGTCC